GTTTGATTGTTAAAAACACGACTTTTCGAGCATGTATTCGTTATCAAGTTTGAACATTCACCGAAAAAGCATCCCAAGGTAGCAAAAAACTCCTCGTTTTTGAGATGAAATTTTACTGGAAATTACATTTTACAGTAGCTCAGCCTTAGTTTGTTCTTAATTTGTTCTCAACTTTTGACTAATTTTGAAGTTAGTGTTCTTTAAAAATTGTTCTTATAAAAAGAGAGTGTAAAGGCAATGTAATTATGTTTAAGAATGAAAATCACCATCTGTTGTATTTTATATGAAGAAGGCTAGTTTCCCCCTGATGATTTTTGATGGCATTGAGGGAAGCTTTGATACCCTCATCTTGTGAAATGCTGGTGTATATATCGAAAGTGTGTTGTAAAAAATGAGCTCATACTCTTTGAATCCAGGATTAGGGGGGTTGCCTCACTCATTAAAAAACTTTATCTTTCTGGTCTCCTCAAGGTTAGGCAAACACATCGGTGAACTAAGGGACACACTGAGCAAGGACCTAACCGGGAGCAACTTACCTTAAGAATAATTTTAATGCTACGGGAACTTGGGGCCAGCTCTCAACATTTCCAACTTTTGCTAGGGCAAAGTGTTTTATGCAGAGCAAATATGCAGCCACCCCCCCTCAGCCCCCAATCCCCGACAAAAAGTATGAAGTGACGCCCTTAGCTCCAGCGAATCTGGTTACAGTGATTTTGGATTGTGAGGAAAACGAAGAGGAAAAACTAATTATAAAGAATCCAAAATTGAAACCTTGCACATTTGTAGTTGCAGTTGCTCCGAATTTTTCAACCAGGGGGAACGCCATTTGAAGTGGTGAGAATAAAGAAATTTGGTGTTTATCGGCAAAAGATCACAACATGGATACAACAAGATATCACCGCCAGCATTTCGCTCCCATTTCTAGTTTAAATGCTGCATGGTTTAATTCAGAACTGGCAAATACCACACACTGGGCATTGAGTTTACAAAAACCGTTCACCGCCGATTTTTCTCATTACCGAAATACCGCCCAATTTGAAGAAGATTACCGAATTACCGACCGATAAAAAGGCAAATATCGCAATACCGTCAGCCCCAAACATTCCCCGTTATGAAAACTAGCCTGTGCTCCAGACCCCTAATTTCAAAGTAGAGGTCTGGGACACAGGCTAATGAAAACAGGACACATGCATGGTCAGCGGTTTAAATAAGGTCCAATGAATTCGTGAGTTGGGTTCCAAAAGGGTTCTTTTGTTTGTGCTGAAAACAATTGAAGATAATCGATTGCTCCAGGGCCGCCGAGAAGGGGCAAGGGGAGGGGGGAATTGTCCCAGGGCCTCGAGGTGCAGGGGACCTCGTTAAGTAATTAATTATGTTTGAAAAAAGTTAACGAAATTATGCCCGTAAACAGTGAAAGATTTTGAGCGAATGAACGAATTTAAGCTAATTTTAAGGGCGTTGTTGAAACGTAGGGGGCATCGTTTTTCGCTTTTCCCCCAGGGCCTCCAAATTCTCTCGGCGTCTTTGGCTATGGCTACGACAGAGTTCCTTTCTTTACAAAATATAATAAGTTACAAAAGATTACCATGTCTACGACAGGGTTACTTGCTTCAAAATACCATACCTAAAGAGCGTCAAAGGTTGTGGTATTTTAGAGCCCATTTGCCGTTAGGACTAGTAGCCATTTATACGGAAGTAAAGGAAAAATTGATGTTACATGTCTTAGTAAAATTTGATAGGGTTCCAGAACCCTTGAAACCCGGTCTGAATCGGCCAGTGCTGAGACAAACCCAGAGTTTTTCGGGCCCAGTGTGTTCTTTGCATTGAAAAGTAGATACAATGAATACAGGAACGCTAAAATTTGAATAAAATGTGATATATAATTGTAAATGAACAATATCAAGACTATGTGCTTAATTTTACAAAGTTTGATTTCCAATTTTTTCTAAACAGCAACAGAACAAAAAGAACAAAATAAAAAGATGTGATGCAATTAGGATTAATTGCACCCAGAAAAAGTTGACTAATCTTAGCAGTCAATTTTTGTTACTAGGAAAGGTTTTTACCTAATTTCTTTGTCCAAGTTTCTATTTCTTGTGTACTCTGAAAAATGCCTGCATTTTTAGTAACTGTATTGGTCAACTTTCACTAAAAATTCTCTTCTATGTGCCTTGTGCCTCTTAAGTTTCATCATTAATTTGGTTGTCCACAAAATAACACTTCTTTTTTATAAAATTCCACACCTTGATCCATTAGAAATACACACACAGTTTGCCACATACAAAATTTATCTTTGTGCTATTTTTGTCTGCATTACCCAATGTCAATTACTAGTGTTGCTATGCGAGAAATGTTTTAAAGCACCTCTCCAGTAAAAAAAATTTTTTTTATTGACTAAAAAGTTAGCATCTGGTGCGTGTATTATGGCAAAGTCGTTGTTTTTGCAAAATTCCAATTATTTTAGAAGTTATAAGGCTTTAAAGTTGCACCTTTCCGAGAAAAAAACGACAAGAGCCGAATCAGTTTGGTGACATTCTGACGTCACAGTGGGCGGCTCTCGTTCGCCATGAATTTCGTACATCTTCCACCGAATCGTGAAGGAGTCATGGTCACGCGTTGATAACTGCATCTAAATCTACAGCAGGAGCTTTTTAGGATCGAAAAATACTAAATGTTTACAATCATTCTAAGTTTGCTGGTCGGCATGTGTCCATGCTGTGTCACGACTTTGTTTTGATCACCTGTGTAGGCCCACAAAGCTACGGCTTCTTGTTCCAGCTCTTCCCTCGCGTATAATTAATCGAAATTGACACTTCAGTTGTTCTCCAGAAACGATGAACAACTAAAGGCTTCAGAATTGATATCTGAAATGCTCAAACTAAAAGCCGGTCCAGAACTGAGAGTACCATCACTTGCAGTGTTCAATTTGCGAATCGCCGTCGTTCGATTCGGTTTGAGGCGAGACTAACGAAACACACTGTGACTTCAAAAGTGCGTCACAGTGTCACCAAACCGAACAATTTTTGTCGGTTAAATCAATTCAATTATCGAATTGCAAGAGCTTATATCGCACAAACTGTGAAAAATATCGAAAATCAAATAACGAATTCTTGTCAGCAGGTTCATCTCCTTTAGATTAGCCAATAAAATGCAAGTGCAAAATTTGGCTGGAGAGGCCTTTAAAGTTGCATCATTGCTGTTTTTATTCAGTGGTGGACATTTTGGCAATATTATGAGAAGAGACAATCCTATCGTTTTGATAAGATGACATCACATTTGTCCATTTTTGTAATAAAAGACTATTGTCTTCTCAAAATATTGGGGGCAACTGCCTTCCTTCACCCCCCTGGGTATCTACCACTTTTTTTGTTTCTATGCCCCTCTTAAACTTACGATAGTTTTTTAATCATTACACCTCTTAAACACCGAAATCAATTTGTTGGATGTTTCCGGGAAATGGGCGTGACCCGTTAGTCATAATGGGTTTTGAGAATGTAATATTTTTGTCTGGATTCTATAGGTCGGGAGTCAAAAATGACTTTGGGAACCATTTGGATCAGGGTTTCCAATGTTTTTCATAGGAAGCTGACCCTGGAAATACTTCAATTGTTTTTGGTGGCCATATATCTCTGTGAAAGTTGTGTCCTTTTACTCAGGTAGCTTTTCCTTTTGCATTTAAGACAACATTGGCTATGAAATACGCATATTTTATCAAATTGTGCTGATATTTAGAACAATGTGGTGTAATACTTTGATAGTGCAGTGTAGGCAAAGAGTTAAAATAATTATATGTTCGATATATCTAGTAAAATCCTGTTAAATTAAATTAAAGTATCGTTATTTTGTATGGAATCTCAGAAAATCTAATGTTCGAAAGTCACTACCGCACAACAGAAACAGAACAGCCATAGCCTTAGGGAAATCAAGTGATAATTCCTGCATTGCCTCTTAATATTCATTCGAAGTTTAATCTAAGGATCTTTTTACGTAGATGTGAACTTTCTGAATTAGAATAGAAGACACTTTTTAGATTTCTAAGATTTTTATTCTGTAAAGCTCTATTCTTGGACCTTGTGTAGAAAATCTGCTTTGTTGTATTATTTAAATCATTTGTTCTATAATGTTATTAGGTTTGAGCGAGCCTTGAAACAACATAGTTACAAAGGAAATAAGAAAACTCACAGGAACATCGGCTTCAAAATAGTTTTATAATTATTTGAATCAACTTTCTTTTCAAATGAAGCACAATCAATTTTCGTAGGCAGATTGAGCATGAATCAAAAGGATAGAAGATCATTATTTTTGCAAATTTCATGCAATGAAAGTTACTTAAGCAGCTTTGCTTCTTTTTGCCTTTTTCTTTAGGCTTCTAAGCGTTTTCTTTTTCTTCTTTTTGTTGGAACCATTTGCGACACAGAGTGTAATTCCAACTTTCAATTTGAAATCGCTGGCCAATTGTGGAACTGCATCTGATTCATAACCAGAGATAGACACTTTCCAGTCGGCATAGACAGAGGGATACAAAGCTGTTTTCTCCAAGAGATCCAGACATCTATCTTCCTCCATATTCACCGGACAGATTTCGGGCTTTGATGTATCATAAGGATTTTGAAACGTTTCTTGTCGGCAACCTTCATTGCTACCACCCTCGAGGTATTCAAACTTCAAATTCTTGCTTGGGATGATCGTATATGTTTTGCCATTCGGCACCAGTTGGTTCCTCCCCTCTGATTTTGCTTCAACATTGACTCTCTTTCGTATTCCACTCATAGTTGGCAAGAAAATTTCAAACTTCTTTACCGTGATAACAGAATTCTTATCCCCTCTGTCAATCCACTGATTCTCCACCAACCAGTCGCTATTTGGGATTTTGAACCTTACTTGCTTGGCAGCATACAAATTAGATATGTTGAGGTAAGCTTTGTCAGCTTCTGTTGCTGCACTGATTGGTACTTCCCTAAATCCTACTTTTTCCTGGCAAGGTCTTACTTGACGAGAGACAAGAGTAGCAATATTCGTGTTTAACCCTTGACAAAGATTGGGCCTTGTTCCGCCTTCTTTATACTCCAAAATGTCGCAGTATGCCTCTGTAGCCTGCCAAATGTTGATCTTATACGATATATAGGAAGTCAAGCCCACAACTCTCAATTTGTTGACAGCATTGTTGCTTGAATTCTGCCCAGCAGGGAGCTGCTCGTACCCGGCTGTTATGCTTGAAGCGGCATCAATGGATGTAGCAGCCCTCATATAAGTCGCTAGTGCCTCAATGAGCTCAAACTGAAAATCGTATATCTCTGCATAGGTTTCGATCATTCTCTCTGCAAGCAACTTTGTTTTGGGACATAAGTCAGACGCCCTTACAGTTAACTTGTCTGTTCCAGCAATCAGCGCTTCCGTATTCATAATAACATCACAGGTGGCTTCAATAAGGTCAGTCCAGGTTGCTGTCATGGCTGTCAACTCTGGCCTAGTAACCTTCGGATCATAGGCCGTATAGTCTCTAATGAATTTTTGCTTCTCTGATTGAAAAATGGAGGATGACTCTTCATTTCCAATATTATCGACGATTTTTTTTACAGACTCAAGAAATTTGGCATTATCTTGAAACTTGCCTGATATTTCAACGGTCTTTTTTGTTAGTCGATCAAAAGAGCGTTTTACATGGACAAGCTCGCCTGCTTTAGTCATTGAATCGAGCAGTTTGGCACTGCGATCCATAAGATCACCCGCGCTTGTCCCTTCGAAGAGCTTCTCAAGAGGATTTAATGCCACAGCAGTAGCTAGACCAACTTGAACGGTATCTTCAGCTATCTCCAGGGTGATAGCCGTGATTGCTCCATTTATGAGGTCATCAGTGTTTGTCCCTAATTCTTTACTCAGTGTCGAAACACTTTTCCTAAACAATTCTAACCTTCCATTAACGAAATCTACATCAGCACGTGCTTTATCTCTGTTGAAGCTTTCAACCTTTTGGAAATACGTTCTGACGCCTTTAAATCTGTCGTTGATTGTTTTAGTGACTTCGCTGTTAAGCCAACTAAACAGTGGGGGAAGGGAATTTTCTTTGTCTTCGACAATATGCAATATTCTGTCAACTTCAGTTAGCTCTAAAAATGTTTTATAATCAATCCTGGTATTAAGGATTTTTGTCACGTGTCCATGATCAGACGCAACTCGAGACTTGAGGAAAAGCCTTATCTGAGCAACTACTCTGAAGAGGGTGCAGAGGTTCTTTGTTTGGTCAGACTGGTTGCCGACATTAGCTCCACAACCTTCTTTTATCGTTGTTAAATCTGGTGACAGAGATATGAGCTCTGTCAGTGGCTTCATTTGTTCGTTTCTAACACATCTAAAGAATGTTTTCAAATTATCAAAGACCAGTTTCTGAATCCTTTTGTCGATTCCTGGCCCTGCTACCCTGAATAGTTCGGGGTCGTTGTATCCCAGGACGAGAAAGTGGATGCGATAAGCATTCCATTTCTCAGTGCTTCTTCTATCATCTTTTACCTTCATATATGTGTCAGCCATGTTCATCAGTTCTGGTAAATGTTCACAGAATATTTCATCTCGTGGTTGACTCATGCAGTCTCGTTCGATTTTGTTTCGAAGACCTTCTGCCGCCGGTCCTATCAAAACGTCTTCAATTCCAGGCTCCCCATTAACCAAAAAAACAGACAAATATTTTTTGGCATTTTGATCCAGATGGTTCCATTGGCGCATTAGAGGATGAAATTTGATAATATCATTCCGTAGAATTTCGGGATTATATTTCTTAACCTCTGTTTTCGATTGACGTGTTTGACCACGGCACAGATGTTCTATAGCATTGTCACCAGAATCAACGGCAGAAAGAAACCTGTTGTCAATGAGTTTCTTTCTAAATTCCACAAACTTCTCATCACCTTTTATTTGATGGCTGTTTATGAAATCTTTACAGATGGTTTTAATGTTAACATCACTACTTGCTGAATCCTTTCCAAGAACTTGAGATGCTTGAAACAACAGAGATGCAAGTGCCAGCAGCAACAGCGTCTTCATGACTGTCGCCTAGAAATAATCGAGAAATTGTTTACTCTGCTAAGATTTAACAAGCGCAAAAATGTGAGCAGAAAAACACTAAATAGATTTGTAAATGAAAAATGAATGAAATACTTTTGTTATGCACCATTTTAGCTATTTTCCACTTATCTGGATGTTTCATGACAGGTCGGTTAATAAGAAAATAAACCAAATCCACGAGAGAGCCCTGAGAATCGCATACAAGGATAGTTAATCTAGTTTCGAAAATTAATTGAATAAAGCAGAATCGGTTTCTATTCACCAGAAAAATTTAGAGTTGCTTGCTACCGAAATCTTTAAAACTCAAAGCAATCTCAATCCTAGTTTCATGAAACAAATTTTCGTTCTGAAAGATGTACCTTACCACCTTCGAAGCTGCAGAAATATTTTGCACCGAAAACAAAAACAACAGGGTATGGTATTGAGAGTGCATGTTTTCTTGGATCTAGGATATGGCATGCTATGCCGCCATCTTCTATAAAAGAGTCCCAGACACTTAGCAACTTCAAGGAACAAATAAAAGCCACGATTTTGATTGCAGTTCTAGATTGTGCAGATTGTATATAGGTAATTTAGGGTTTCGTTTGTAATTCAGATTTAATTTATTATAGTATCTTTCGGTTACCAAAATAGTTTAAAAATCATACAATTCCGTCCATTACGAACAGTATTTTGCCATAGTAAATCCCGACCCTCCAGCGACATTTTCTTGTTGAATTTAGAAGAACTACCTGCCGAGAAATGGAAGGACGGTTAAACTTTTTTGTTAATTCTGCACTTGCTACTGTGGATGTTTTGCACATGCACAGTTCCTCCTCCACATAGGCATAGAAACAGCCTTTATGATTCAAATCACACGATAGAAGTCCTTGAATTACACCTCTTTGGGGATATTCAATTTGATACGTTTCTTTATAGGAGCTTAAAGCCTGATTTACACGAGACGAATTTTTTCGTCCGAAGCGAATTTTTCGCCGCGAATGCGCGAAAAATATGCGCAGAAGTGGAGATTGGAAAATTCGCTGCGAAAAAGTAGAAACCATTCCTACTTTTTCGCTGCGAATTTTTTCGCCTTGTAAAATAAACCAATCAGAACAGCAATTGAAGACATCTGACACGAACCCAACTAGTGAACAAGAGAGAAACACTCTTTTTACAACAAATCTTTGTCGTCTCTTGACATGAAGACATGAGAAAGGAAGGGCTAGGCCGAATGGTGCTACGCAATGTAAACATATCTAAATCAAAAGTATGCAAAACGACAGAAAACTATGCAATGGTTCAAACAACAACATGGGTGAAGAGTGAGTAATCTATGACTAGGCCTAAACAATGCTGGGAAAATTCCGCACCTATAACATAAACAATGGAATGGGACGTTTCTAGCAACAGGCGGCTTTGGTGCAATAAACGATAAAAGCTCCTCATATGTAGTTGGCGACATTCGAAAGTATTTATTCCTGACAATGTAAGCGTAAGTCACTTACCAAAAGATGAAACTCCCCCTTCTGCAGACGTTCTGAATAAATTTTTCGAACCAAGTACCCCTTTCTTTGCTTTTTTGCTCGCTTTTTTTTAATAACAACAATCTTCAAACAGACGCCATTTTCTGTGGCATTATTCGCGGCGAATTCGCAAAAGAAATTCTGCCAGTGGAAATTAAACTTCGAATTCGCAGCAAATTCGCAGGCGAAAAATTCGCTTCGCGCGAAAAATTCGTCTCGTGTAAATCAGGCTTAAAGATGGGGTTGTTTCACGATATATCTAAAAGTTGATATACAAGTAGGTAGCTTTCAAAGCTTTTTAACTTTTATCAAGTTCACTTTGAGAAATGAAGCATTTTGCAAATCGATTTTAACAACGATAACACGGTGAAGATGTTTTTTGTGCTGCATGAGTTCCAACAAACACACCCTCTTCGTTTGAAACATTGATAAATCCTTTCTATTTCTAAATGATTCTAATAATCGGTGCTTATAAACCTTTCAGATATTAAAGGGCATGTGTCGTGAAAATGATTGGTTAATGCGATACAATTAGAAGAAATTTAGAAGAAATGAAAATTACGAAACAATGAAATTCCATCCCAAACGTATTTGTTTTATTAGCCAACTGCTAATGTGACATATGCCCTTTAACAATTTGGAGATAAAACAGCCGACTCATTGATGCATTTCTATTTTTCGATTCGACTACACCCTTTTTCCATAAGAACCAAAACATTTTCCCGAGCCTCAATGTTCTTGTTTGCTAGATAATTCGAGGCTCGGATGTTGTCAATGTTGTTCTAATTTCAACAATGACTTTTTACATGTATGACTTCACTCACCACATTGAATTCAACCCATAAATTGTGTTCAACATGAACAACTGAATAACTGTCTTGCGTTACATTTTAAGAAACTGTCTTTATTAGTAAATAAGTAATTAGGGCCGGCTAAACGTATTTGAAAACACCAACATTTTAAAAGGTTGCGGCCACCATGGTTGGCGGCAAGAACAATTTTAAAGATATGGTATCCTAGGGATGGCCAGAAACTGCATCTAAAATTCATTTTGAGTGAAGGATATCTGAGGCAATATTTTCACCCTTTGTTTTATTAATGGGGTCACATCGCCTTGATTGAGTATGTATCTGGAAACGTGACATTTACATCGCTTCGACTATTGCGAAAAAATGGGAGATTGGCGTTGATATGCAACCAAAATAGCGCAAAATCACATGTATACGCCATTTATCAAAAATAAGAAGACATTTTGCCTACAGACGCTCAGTTTTCAATTTGTTTTGCCACAGAGAGGAGTGAAATAAAGCTGACTGACGGGGCATAAGTTTGCCCTGACTAAAACATTAAGAAGGCTGTTCAGTTCGGTAATTGTTTCGCATTAATTCTAAAAAAACCTGTAAATTTTAAATTTTCAAATATCTTTAAACAAAAACACTCTAGAGAAAATTTGATACATTTTGAATATAATTTTCTGCTAAAATATTGCACTTTGTCAAAGCGCTAAATTTCCCCCTTGTTTTGACTCTTGCAAAAGCAAAAATAATGCATGCGCCAGATCGGCAGATAAAAAAATTCAATAAAGGTGTTTGCAAGTGTTTAATCACTTATTTTCTTTTCGATGTTTTATTAGTGCGTGCTTATATTTACATACCGTAAACATACCCAATCAGGGCGACGCCAGAAATTTAGGCCGTCAAGACAACTAAGAAGTATCGCAGCTTTTTCAAAATCTTTGTAGAACCAATTACCTGATCTTTTGAAATATACATCTCTTAAGAGCCTGAAGGATTTTTTCAGTGCCAAGTTTTATATCTAAGTCTACGCGAAATAGAAAAATTTTAATTTGTATCTAGGTATACTCAATCAGGGTGACGTGACCCTATGCTCCATAGTTTCCGTCTATTGTAATTTTGATATGAAATAGGAATGTCTTGCAAGTTTTAGAATTACCTTTTAATGTAGCTTGTAATGAAACTTTTTATATGATTAGATTTACAAAGTAGCAAAAATAAGATAGAGAAAAAGAATAAATGAAACACGGTTTATTAAAAACATTGAAATATCAACCGAAGAACTATAAAAAAAAAGTTTAATCAATTTTGTATCTTTGGGATAGATTTCTGTAAAATCTGATCTTTAACTATTTTGGAACAAAGTGCTGTTAACAAAAGGCTCTGGATTTGAAAAACTTTTAAACTGTGCTGCTTAAAATGAGTTTTAATAGAATTTATAGCAACGTTTAAATTTTCTCTTTGATAATCAAACTTTGAAGCTTTCTTGATGATACTTTCAAAGAACAAATCTGCCGATTCTTTATTTCTTATATCCTTAAAAATTTTTCTTTCTAGCATTTTCTTTTCTTCCAACAGTTGATTTAATCTGTGACGTTTTTGAAAAGTTTTCTGTTAAAAAATAGATCTTGTAAGCTAAGTTAAGGCGATAAAAATGAAACTCCGTCATTTTTTTCTGCAATCAAGGTATTCTGGATCAGGTCAGGTTTCTCGATCTATTTCCTCGTGTTACAACATAGACAATGGCCGTTTTCTTCGATCAAGTTCCCATGTTCAATTTTATAATCTTCTATAGTAAAGACATAGTAACCCAGCTAAAGCTAAAAGGCATATTTAAAGGAATGCTAGGCACATTTCTTTCTTCTCTTGCATAAAAAAATCATTTTGTAAATTTAGGTAACGCAGATGATTAGCTGAGGTGGAGAGGGAGAAAGGAGATCAGAGCTCAAGCACTATTCAGTACTTGTCATTGTCTAAAAATGATAACTAGCATGTTTGTACTTGAAAATCCTTTTTATGAAATGGAAGGCACGACCACTGCTGACAAACTTGTCGTCAAGCCAAGGCCAGCCTTAGGCAATGCGGAACCCAGGACAAATTGTTGTCTAGCATAAGATTTTAGCACACTGTTGAAGCATGAACGATGCCTCCTGAAGTCTGGTTTTCATATAGCTTCAAAACATTGGCTACACGTCGGCGATGCATCGCCGATGAATCTCTTCAACCTTGTTTATGAAAACTTTCTCAGTATGTAAAAATTTTAATTCTGTAGATAAAGAAGTGCTGAATAATCATGTACCTCTGAAACAAAAAAATTACGCGCAAATGATGCACCTTTCATGACGAAAACTTTAAAAAAGGTTCATAACAGATTAAACAGGCATCATACATCTGAAAACTGGAACCCTTTCAAAAAAGGCAAGAAACAGTTATGTGAAAATTTTGCGTCAAGCAAAATTACCATTTTATGGCATACTGGTTTCTTGTTGGACAGCCGACTCTCTCTTTGAGTGGAAACTACTTAGATGATTTCGCCTTATCTAAGATTGTTAATTAAACTTTCACAAAATACTTTCTTCTGATGCCTATATTGTGGAAGTTTACTTTGAAATAATTATATTCAGATTAACTTATTTCGAATTACAATTAGGTTAATCTTTTATACTGTAAAAAATCATGTAAGTTTTTTTTAAGTGGAGGGCATCTTGGCAATCAGCATTGCTAAGGAGCTACCCTCCTTAAACACATGAAATGAAATCAAATGCTTCCTGGCAGCAATTCTTGAATTGAAAATTACAGTTATATAGTAATTAGTAATCAGAAAGGTAATGGGAACAGAAATCTGAAATTTTAAAGGTTTTTCAAAGAAAAACTTCTTACCTGATATTCGACCGTCACTTGATTTGCACTCTAAAGACTGCTAATTAGGGAAGACGTGAAACGTGTTTTACGCAAAATTGATCAACGAAATATGAAGTAATACTATTTAATCATCCAGTAACCAGAAAACAGCTAATCATCAGGGTATGTGACCCGTAAAAAGTTATGGTTGACTGTGTAACTCTTGTTTCATCGCGATGAATCGATATTATTTACAAACGCAGGTTCGACAGAGACAAGACAAACGTAACCGAATATAACGATACATCTCACTCAAAAGTTACATGACCTCGACTTGAATGTTGTAAAAGAATAATCTGAATACTGTCCAAAACACAGGGGTATCAAATTAACTTAGGTTAAAAGCCCTACAACTGGCAATTTTTTATTGAAAATTCCAAGATTCAGAAAACGTAATGTTAGTGGATCCAAATATGCTAATCAAAAATGCAGGATAATAACATGTAGGGTTGTCGCTAGCCTATATTGTCTTTAACATCAATTTTAAGCATACCTTGTTTATTTTTAAAGGAGAATTATCCCTTTTGAGCCGAAGGGGCCCCTGTTTGGACCCCCAAATATAAATTATCAAACGAGCTTCATTTCCATCCTACCATGCGACTGCGACGTAATAGTCGACGTCGCAGCGTCGATCTGACCACGTTCGAATGGCATCACTTTTTTAAGGTCCCTTTTTCAGGCTTTCGGGCGCCATATCTAGATAAGTTCAAGTCGTAGAAAGAAACGGAAAACGGCATCTTGACAAGCAGAAAAAGCTCTACAAAATATGTGTAAATCGTTTTTCGCTTCATACGACCTTTAAACCGAGAGATAACGTTTTTTAGGTCCTTTCGCACTTCACGCCATAAAAGTCTGGGGTTGGCTTGTTAAGGTTTTCTCCAAACTTTTTTCACCATTAACTAAAAAAACCAAGCTGAATTTAAATTATACAACTGGCTGGACATTGAAATATGAAATTCTTAATGTTCCTCTTATTATTTGAAACCAAGAGATAGGCAAAGCTGGAATCACTTCACTCCTTAGTTGGTGCCTGAATGACGTTTTCGATTACTTCACATTCTTATTAGTCTTCTTCTACTTCTCCATCGGGGTTTCTCAATAAAATTTACCACCAGATTAAGTGATAAATCAATACCAAAATAAATAAATATATATAACAGATGAAACATTTATGAAAAGTTCGTTATATCTTAAATCGAGGGTAATAATGACGAAGGGACCGAAAAATTGGTTCGTAATAACGAGAGTTCGCTATATCCGGGGTTCGTTAAACCGACAGAATTTGTAAGGAGCTTGTTAGGCAGAATCCAAGGGACCAGAAATTTAGTTCGGTATACCAGAAAGTTCGTTATATCTGGGGCTTGCTATACCGGGATTCCACTGTACTATAAACTTTAAAATGGTTTTTCTGGCCGATTTTAAGGATATTTTGCAAAAAAGGTTGGAAATAGAGTGCCTTTGAGAAATCTCCAATTTCACCTTTAGCGGTCTAAAAAAGAGGGCTTGGTTTAACACTGAGGTAATAAAAATATTTTGCATTATTTGAAAATTATCTTAATATGATTGATTTGATAGCTATTCAAAATGTTGATTTGATAGCTGCTCAGTTCCTAACTATAGCGATAAAAAATTTAACCAATTGAAAACAGCAAAAATGAATAAAAAGATACTTCAAGCTTATCCTTAGCAAATTTTGCCTTGGTAGGATGAAGATGAAGCTCGTTTGATAATTTATATTTGGGGGTCCAAACAGGGGCCTCTTCGGCTCAAAAGGGATAATTCTCCTTTAAAAATAAACAAGGTGTGCTTATAATTGATGTTAAAGACAATATAGGCTAGCGACAACCCTACATGTTATTATCCTGCATTTTTGATTGGCATATTTGGATCCACTAACATTACGTTTTCTGAATCTTGGAATTTTCAATAAAAAATTGCCAGTTGTAGGGCTTTTAACCTAAGTTAATTTGATACCCCTGTGTTTTGGACAGTATTCAGATTATTCTTTTACAACATTCAAGTCGAGGTCATGTAACTTTTGAGTGAGATGTATCGTTATATTCGGTTACGTTTGTCTTGTCTCTGTCGAACCTGCGTTTGTAAATAATATCGATTCATCGCGATGAAACAAGAGTTACACAGTCAACCATAACTTTTTACGGGTCACATACCCTGATGATTAGCTGTTTTCTGGTTACTGGATGATTAAATAGTATTACTTCATATTTCGTTGATCAATTTTGCGTAAAACACGTTTCACGTCTTCCCTAATTAGCAGTCTTTAGAGTGCAAATCAAGTGACGGTCGAATATCAGGTAAGAAGTTTTTCTTTGAAAAACCTTTAAAATTTCAGATTTCTGTTCCCATTACCTTTCTGATTACTAATTACTATATAACTGTAATTTTCAATTCAAGAATTGCTGCCAGGAAGCATTTGATTTCATTTCATGTGTTTAAGGAGGGTAGCTCCTTAGCAATGCTGATTGCCAAGATGCCCTCCACTTAAAAAAAACTTACATGATTTTTTACAGTATAAAAGATTAACCTAATTGTAATTCGAAATAAGTTAATCTGAATATAATTATTTCAAAGTAAACTTCCACAATATAGGCATCAGAAGAAAGTATTTTGTGAAAGTTTAATTAACAATCTTAGATAAGGCGAAATCATCTAAGTAGTTTCCACTCAAAGAGAGAGTCGGCTGTCCAACAAGAAACCAGTATGCCATAAAATGGTAATTTTGCTTGACGCAAAATTTTCACATAACTGTTTCTTGCCTTTTTTGAAAGGGTTCCAGTTTTCAGATGTATGATGCCTGTTTAATCTGTTATGAACCTTTTTTAAAGTTTTCGTCATGAAAGGTGCATCATTTGCGCGTAATTTTTTTGTTTCAGAGGTACATGATTATTCAGCACTTCTTTATCTACAGAATTAAAATTTTTACATACTGAGAAAGTTTTCATAAACAAGGTTGAAGAGATTCATCGGCGATGCATCGCCGACGTGTAGCCAATGTTTTGAAGCTATATGAAAACCAGACTTCAGGAGGCATCGTTCATGCTTCAACAGTGTGCTAAAATCTTATGCTAGACAACAATTTGTCCTGGGTTCCGCATTGCCTAAGGCTGGCCTTGGCTTGACGACAAGTTTGTCAGCAGTGGTCGTGCCTTCCATTTCATAAAAAGGATTTTCAAGTACAAACATGCTAGTTATCATTTTTAGACAATGACAAGTACTGAATAGTGCTTGAGCTCTGATCTCCTTTCTCCCTCTCCACCTCAGCTAATCATCTGCGTTACCTAAATTTACAAAATGATTTTTTTATGCAAGAGAAGAAAGAAATGTGCCTAGCATTCCTTTAAATATGCCTTTTAGCTTTAGCTGGGTTACTATGTCTTTACTATAGAAGATTATAAAATTGAACATGGGAACTTGATCGAAGATAACGGCCATTGTCTATGTTGTAACACGAGGAAATAGATCGAGAAACCTGACCTGATCCAGAATACCTTGATTGCAGAAAAAAATGACGGAGTTTCATTTTTATCGCCTTAACTTAGCTTACAAGATCTATTTTTTAACAGAAAACTTTTCAAAAACGTCACAGATTAAATCAACTGTTGGAAGAAAAGAAAATGCTAGAAAGAAAAATTTTTAAGGATATAAGAAATAAAGAATCGGCAGATTTGTTCTTTGAAAGTATCATCAAGAAAGCTTCAAAGTTTGATTATCAAAGAGAAAATTTAAACGTTGCTATAAATTCTATTAAAACTCATTTTAAGCAGCACAGTTTAAAAGTTTTTCAAATCCAGAGCCTTTTGTTAACAGCACTTTGTTCCAAAATAATTAAAGATCAGATTTTACAGAAATCTATCCCAAAGATACAAAATTGATTAAACTTTTTTTTATAGTTCTTCGGTTGATATTTCAATGTTTTTAATAAACCGTGTTTCATTTATTCTTTTTCTCTATCTTATTTTTGCTACTTTGTAAATCTAATCATATAAAAAGTTTCATTACAAGCTACATTAAAAGGTAATTCTAAAACTTGCAAGACATTCCTATTTCATATCAAAATTACAATAGACGGAAACTATGGAGCATAGGGTCACGTCACCCTGATTGAGTATACCTAGATACAAATTAAAATTTTTCTATTTCGCGTAGACTTAGATATAAAACTTGGCACTGAAAAAATCCTTCAGGCTCTTAAGAGATGTATATTTCAAAAGATCAGGTAATTGGTTCTACAAAGATTTTGAAAAAGCTGCGATACTTCTTAGTTGTCTTGACGGCCTAAATTTCTGGCGTCGCCCTGATTGGGTATGTTTACGGTATGTAAATATAAGCACGCACTAATAAAACATCGAAAAGAAAATAAGTGATTAAACACTTGCAAACACCTTTATTGAATTTTTTTATCTGCCGATCTGGCGCATGCATTATTTTTGCTTTTGCAAGAGTCAAAACAAGGGGGAAATTTAGCGCTTTGACAAAGTGCAATATTTTAGCAGAAAATTATATTCAAAATGTATCAAATTTTCTCTAGAGTGTTTTTGTTTAAAGATATTTGAAAATTTAAAATTTACAGGTTTTTTTAGAATTAATGCGAAACAATTACCAAACTGAACAGCCTTCTTAAAGTTTTAGTCAGGGCAAACTTAGGCCACGTCAGTCAGCTTTATTTCACTCCTCTCTGTGGCAAAACAAATTGAAAACTGAGCGTCTGTAGGCAAAATGTCTTCTTATTTTTGATAAATGGCGTATACATGTGATTTTGCGCTTTCTTGGTTATAGTCCAGCCCCAATCTCCCATTTTTTCGCAATAGTCGAAGCGATGTAAATGTCACGTTTCCAGATACATACTCAATCAAGGCGATGTGACCCCATTAATAAAACAAAGGGTGAAAATATTGCCTCAGATTTCCTTCACTCAAAATGAATTTTAGATACAGTTTCTGGCCATCCCTGGGATACCATATCTTTAAAGTTGTTCTTGCCGCCAACCATGGTGGTGGCCTTTCCTAAACCTTTTAAATTTTTGGTGTTTTCAAATACAT